AAAAAAAAAAAAAAAGGAAAAGAAACTAGTAACAGATGGAGGGTAACCTAAATGGCCACAGATTAAATCAAATGCCTGAGCTCGAACAACAGTAGAGAAAAGACACATACTTAGCACTTCACTTATGTGCAAGGGACTGAGCTAACCCCATTACGTAGCTTATCTCGTGCTTCTCATAAATCATTCCAATGTCTATCCTTGTTTCCCAAATTAGGAAAATGAAGTTCAAAGAGGGTATCTTACCCAGAGTCACATAGCTATACAAGAACTTTGAAACTTATGCAGTCTGAATCTAGAGCCCACACTCCTGATCCTATGCTGGTATCAATGGACAACACTGGTCATTAAAAGTGAACCAGAGCTTCAAATAGGAGAATGAACTTATTTCCTACTGTTACATTAAATAATGAAGAATGTTAGGAAATCACCCATTTTCACAAAGAATCCAATAACTATTAAAATCAGAAGGAATACTAAAGATGATCTACTTCATCCCTTGTATTTTATAGGGATAGGGATAAAGGAACTGAGAAAAACAGCATTTAATTAAAAAAGATATCTTTCAAATCTTGCTAATATGTGCAGGGTTATTATCAGAAGCTACATCATCCAATTTTGAAATCTACTGTGGATGAAATCCTCCTCACTCCCTAAAACCCAGTGTAAGTATCACTTCATCTGAGCAGCCCTCCAAGTCCCTCCCTGATAACGTCCATCAATCCTTCCTTCTACTAGACCACTGCTCTTATGACTGCATTTAGGCTATACAGCTACATAGCAAACAATTTAAAGTCAGATCTCTCTTACTTTTGTTTGATGAAGGCCAATAAACAGCTTGGTTCTTACCTATAGCACATTTTGCCCCTGACAGATTATTGGGGGTGCCACCAAGAGACAATGTGCACAAAGGACAGCCAAGAGTTCATGGTCCTGGGTCTCACCTCTATGACAAAATGGTTCGTTAAACAGTTCCCTTCACTATTCCATTACCACCACAGAAGTGCAGTGTCAGTGATATGTCCCAGCATGTTAACCCTACCCCATAGGAGGAATCCCCCAACCTTTCATGCTAAATTAACTACAGTTAAGCTGGACCTTATTTTATTCTTCCCTGACTTGATTAAAATGGTAAAAACAGCTGTACTTACTACTTATTTGACTGTTAACCATCTTGAGTGTTTAAAAAAAAAAGATCATTGTCACAAAGATTAAATGAAACACTAAGAATACTGCTTGGCACAAAGTGCTCAATAAATGCTAGTTATTATTACATGACATCTGTTCTTTGATCTCTCCTAATCTAGAATTGTTTGAATATTATAAGCAATATGAAAAACTCTACTTAACCTAGTGTTTTATTTTTCCTTTCGAAATCCCTAAAATTTGCTGGTATACATCTCAAGATTGATAATTTGCATTACCTTTCTTAAGTCTCTTTTTAGGATAGCAGGTCATGATTGCTATATAAGGTATGCAAACTATTAATAAACATAAAACATTCACTACGGAATAAATGGTATGAAAAGACGATGCAGAATTAAACCCCTTAAGCAAAATAAATATGTAAGGATAGAGTGGGAAAAAAATCCTCTTCAAATTTTATATATAAGATCATGATGATTTTTATTTTATCTTTAAGTATATTCTGTCACTCCATAAATTCCAGACTCAAGAATCAAAAAAAAAAACCATTCCTTTTGTCTAGATAATACAAATGACTGCTCAAAATATTAAAATATTGATGAATTACGAGTCCTAAAATTTTCATTCCATTTATTTCAGTTCCTTTGTTACTATCCAACTTTCTCCAACCTGAATTTTTAAATACCTCAATCATTTCGGTCTTCAAAAAAAGTCCTGGGCATTTGCTACTTCTCTAGCCCTCTTTAGGAAGATCATCTTTATTTTTGTCATGAACTTCCTGCTCAACCACAGTTACAAGTTAGGAAGTTAGGGAGGCTGAGCTAACCTACCACTATTTCATAATTAATCCCCATAATCCTTTGCCACTTTGTCAGCAGGGCAGCTTCCTGTTGTTGTGCATCTTCTATGTCTTCTATCTCTGCTGACAATAACGGATAACCTGAAATAGTCAACACAATTAAGTCAGTGACAAACTACAAAAACCTCCATATTTTTACATTCTATTCCAGAGACACTGTGATCAGAACCTGTCTGTTGTAGCAAGTCTGACTTTTCACCCCGTATATGAGTTACTCTTATTTCTCTACACATTTTTTATATTAGAGTATAATTCACAAACAATATCCTATTAATTTCAGGAATATATCATAGTGATTCGATATTTCCATACATTATGAAATGATCCCCACAATAACTCTAATTACAATCTGTCACCATACAAAGTTATTACAATACTATTGACTGTATTCCCTATGTGTACAATGTATCCCCATAACTTACTTATTTTATAACCGAAGTTTGTACATCTTAATCCCTGTCACTTACTTTGCCTGTTCCCAAACCTCCCCACTCTGGTAACCAACAGTTGTTTCCTGTATCTATGAGTCTATTTAATTTCTTTTGTTTGTTTGTTGTCTGAGGACCAGCACTAGGGTAGATGCATTAGAATCATTTAGAAGCTTTTCCTTAGTTTGTTTAAAAAAGAACTGGGGACTTCTGATTCTAAGTCTAGAGCATCTCCCCACCCCAACCCTCCCATATGCACATTCACCAAAGCAAAGACATGATCTGGGCTTTCGAGGTGATTCCCCTACACCCATCCCTACTTTATATAAAGTTTCATGCTCTAAAACCTTTGTATTCTTTCCCACTACTCTTGATACTCATTTTAGCCTAAATAATTTCTTCACCTGCTAGTGTAAAAATGGCAGAATGCGATTAACACATATGAATGCGTTACATATCACACTCCCAGAGTATTATGGCAAACACAAATAGTCCTTTAAAATAATAAAAATAAATCAAAATTTTCAACAGAAAAAAAAAAACGTTAATAACGAAGTAGATACTTTAAAGAACCACAAAGCATCAATATAACTAGTGAAGGGTAGCATACACATGAAAGATCAGTCTTGGACTCTGTTCAGTGGATTTAAGTTACTAAAGCACCTAAAGCAATGTGACAGGTAAGAAAAGCACACAGCTCCCAGCCTAAAGATGGCAGTAATATTCTGGCATAATTATATAGTAAAACAATACTGCTCTAAAAAATGTTTAAACAGCTTGATGGAGTCTAGGTTTATACTGAAAGAAACCTCAGAAAGGTTTAGTAATTTCTCCATACAATTCCTTCCCAAACCAACTTCCCAATATTAAGATTTCAAATTTTTGAAAAATTGACAAGAAAAAGCCTCCCCAAACTGGACAGTTTCATTCCTAAGAGCTTATGCTTTAAAAAAGATTCTCATGTTTATTTTAAAAACACTTGGTAATTTTATTATTGCTTGCTCAATAAGATATGGACATGTTGGCTGTACTGAAGGAAGGGGATTGACATAAAACCTTGTACATAACTGATTGATTCCTAAAGGGTTTTAAAAATTTGTAAGAAAGAAAAATGTACAGCTAGAAAATACGCCAGGTGTAAATGAACTATTTTACTCTACTAGAGAAATTAATCCCATCTATATATAAGGACTGAAAAGTATCTTTTTCTTTTTTGATAGTTTTTTTTTTTAGTAATTTATATCCATAGAGGCTTAATCACATTCACAAAAATCATTTCTCTAAAAAACAAACAAATAATAAAGAACATAATAACCTGGCTCCAGGTGTTTACCTTCTTCTTCAATTGGTAATATGCTGGTGTTTCTACTCAAAGATGAAGAATCTTCATCTTTTTCGTAATTTTCTTAAAGATAAGAATATTTTAGTAGTTACATTTATAATATAATCAAGCACATGAAATTTTTCAAATCCCACTGTATTTATCTGAACCCCAAGATGAATATTCTTTGTAGGTAAACTTTTCAATAACCACTTGTACTTAAAAGGGAAATTCTCCTGTTAACATGACAAAGAATAAATTTCTTGGGGCACCTGGGTGGCTCAGTCAGTTAAGTGTCCGACTCGATTTCAGCTCAGGTCACAGTCTCAGGGTCGTGAGATGGAGCCCCACGTCAGGCTCCGTGCTGAGTGTGGAGACTGCCTGAGATTCTCTCTCGCTCCCTCTCCCTTTCTCCCTCCCCCACTGACTCTGTCTTCCACTCTCTCTCTCTAAAAAAAAAGAATAGATTTCTCATGTGATTTGCCCCCCTGTCTCCTACTGCTGTAATAAACAGTATATGGCATAAATACCAGAATGGTCAATAGTTTGAGAAATGACACAGCATTTTCAAACCAAAAGCCTGACTTCTACCAACAAACTCTTACATCAGTCAGCTACTGGGGGATTTCACTAATTTTCAGAGATATTCATGTACCACCAGCTTATGAATGACATTTCTAAATGTGTTATTAAAGTAGATTCCTTCAAGGAAGGCTGGACATCTAGGCACATGAGGCTTGCAGATCTAGCCCGGGCAGAACAGGTCCTCCCTAAAGAGGAAAACACGGCAATGGCACCTAAAAGTAAGGCAGGGATGGAAAGGTAAATGCACGTTTCTAACTCTGAAATGGTACCTGAATCAACAGGAAAGAAAGAAACCTGTTTTATTCGGAAGCGCATTCTACAGTGAATGGACACATCGCTAGTTCTGGTTAGTCCCAACTTCACCAAATTTCCTTTTTATTTGGCTCATAATGAATAGTGAAGACTAAATACCATTCTTTAAGTATTTTCAGAATTAGAAAAATATCTAAGTGATGTAAGGGTCTAACTGAAAACCAGTTTCACCTGGCATTACCTTTGCTTCCGCTGGCATTCACAGGAGACGAAACTGCGTCCTTTGTGACATCCTCCCTTGACGTGAACTCAGCCTCCTGCTTCGCTCCTCTTCTCATTAGTGTCAGGTGCACAGTTGGTCCTGTGTGTCGCAACACCTCTACTGCTTGTTGATTGGTAAAACCCTGAAGGTTTGTGCCATCTACCTGTGATCAGAGCAAGACGTGTTAAAAAATAAATGAATATTTGTATTATCGATTCACCAAATGCATGTTTACTGCTTGTTAGTGGAAATGAACAGGACTGAGTACTCCCCTAATTGGAGAATGAACTAAAACCTGTTTGGGGACCAGTAATAACTTAGATGCACTAGAATTACCCAGGTGAGTTTTGTTTTATTTATTACAGATGATGGTGTCTCACTTCTAGATATTATGAACCAATAGTTCCAGGGTGGGGATATTCTTTTATATTCCTCAGGTGATCCTGATACACAGTCAAGTCTGGAAGCTAGTACTATGCAGGATATAAAAGTGTAGAAGACAGTGACAAAAGTGGTCTCTGAGAGTGCTGATGTATTACATAACATACTTACCTGGCTTTAAGAAAAGAAAGATGACAAAACTATCTTCCTTTTTATTTTTTTTGCCTCTTCAGAAAATACACGTGACTTTCCCTTTTCCTAGTTCACAAAGGATAAAATATTTGAAGATGTCCCTGTGATCTTCCCAAACTATAGATATGATCATATTATCCCAAGACTGCCTTCCATAGGACACTCCTTAAGCCAACTTTCCATACCGTGAACACAGCTTAGAAAGACCTGTGTCAACCGTCCCCAGCTCTACCACCAATCTCTTCTGGCATGGTGCTGCCTATCCCTGTGCCCTCTAGCCCCCGAGGGCTCATTTCCACTCCTGCCCTGCAATGTTCCCCTCAGCCAGGAGGCCTCTGCAGGTTTTGCTCCCCCCAGTCTAGACTCTCTGGACTCCCTCCAGCCCATGCTCTTTCTCATCCATCCACCCAGAAAACACCTGTGCTTGCTTTAGATCTCAGTGTAATACTTTCATAACTGAACTGAACTATCCTAAGGTCTCTGACTATAGTCAAAGCCCCCTTTACCATTTCTCCTTCCCAGCATTTATCATAATTTTAATTTTATATTTTCTGTCATTATTAGTTTTGTGACTGCATGCTCCAAGAGGACAGGTTCTGATGTCACCAAAGCATACTGTCATCTGCACAATAGATAGTCACCCCAAATGGGAATATAGAGCCTTCAGTCCATATGTCAAGGATTTATTTGTAAAGCAAATTACCTTTTGGAAGGAATAAATGCAGATTATAGCACATTATTTTAAATTTAAACCTCAAAGACAAAAATTAATATAAGATAAATGAACATGTTATTTACTATCAGATAGTAAAGGAAAAAAGAAAAAACTCATAAAAATCTCAACTTTAAGTTTCCATAAACATTCTTAAAATTCACAGTACAATTTTTTATCTCCAATAGATTTTTATTGTTCAACTCTTTAAAAATCCAATTTAATTTTTTTATTATGTTATGTTAATTATACATTACATCATTAGTTTTTGATGTAGTGTTCCATGATTCACTGTTTGTGTATAACACCCAGTGCTCCATTCAGTACGTGCCCTCTTTAATACCCCTCACCAGGCTAACCCATCCCCCCACCCCCC